AACCCATGCCAGGGTCTCACCACTCTCCTGGGGAAGAACTTCTCCCTCACATCCAGTCTGAATCTGCCCGTTGTATGAGATGCAGAGGTCAGGACAGTTCTGAGCAGATGAATGTGTTCACCACTCTCCCATAAGGATGCTGCCCAAAGGGGAGTGTTGGGGTGCTGGGCGAGGGGCAGGGCAGGCATGGGGACCCCAAGGTGGGAAACTGCTCCCCTTTCTTTTCCTTTTTTTACTGCAATCAAGACCTGAGGTAAAAACTGCTCTTTGACTGCTTTGACTCCAGTTATTATGAAAATAAATTCTTGGCTGCGTTTCCTTTTTGCCCATAGGAAGACTTTGAGCAGGACACCCTTGTTGTCTCCACTGCCCTGAGGGCAGGAAGGGCACAGAATGGGGGTTGTGGTGGGTGGTGGGTGGGTGGGGAGTGACCCCTGAGCTGACTTGAACCACCAAAAGAGGGGACAGCACAGCAGCAAGGACCTTTCCTGGATTAACTCACAGCTCATTCCTTCCTAAATACCCTTCCCCTGCAGCTCAGAACGAGGAGAAGAGAAGGGAGGGCAGAGGGAAAGCCAGGAAACAAAGAGGCAGGAGAGAAAGGGGATGGGAAGATGACATAGCAGTTGTCCTTAAGGAGGGATGGAGGACGAGCTCTCCCCAAGGCCACATCTCATTACCCTGGCCTTTAGCCACCCCTCCAGCAGACCCCGCCTCCGCCAGGCTCCTGGGGCAGGGGCCAGGGCGCTCCCACCCTTCAGTGGGCTCCTCTGCAAGAGAGAGCTGGCAGCCAAGAGGTCAAAGAATCCAAAACAAGGAGGCTGAGGCATGTGGACGTCACGGCTCGAGCAGCACCCTTGGCGGGAGCTCTGCTGTGGGCCCAGCACATCGTGTCCCCACCACAGGCAGCAGGGCCGTGAGCCTGATGCTGAAGGTCAGGCTTGGTAGGTTTGCTCCCCATTAAGGGGATAAAAATACTCTTGAGCGGGGAGAAGTTGCTGTGTTCACAGCTCTGCTGCAGCTTTTGGGTGCCTGCACGTTGGAGGGAGGTGTTGCAGCGTGGTCCAAAGATGCTGGTGCTTCCCCAGAGCAATCCCTGGGGCTGCTGCAGCAACTTGGTCCCCCAGGGGAGTGATGCCCTGAGGTTGGGAAGATGCTGTTGGACACGTCTCCACCAGCAATCACAAGGGGAGGAGGCTGCCCCGAGCAAGGGAGATCCCCCTGGAACCACAAAATGCTGAGGAACAGCCTCAGCCTGAGCTGTGCTTGCTGGCAACACACCCAAAGCTGACATCAACCCCCACCTCTGGTGATGACCAGCACCTCCACCCAACACAGGCACAGTGGCCAAGAAGGGGTGATGGCACTAGCATCACAAGCCCAAAACATCTCTTCCTCATCCCAAACCCCTCAAACTGCCTCGTCACAGGGCCACCAAGGCTTGGTGCAGCCCCAGCCTGCGAGCTGAGCTCCCTCCCCACTGCCCCAGCATGCACCATCTGTCCCAGCAGCTCCTAGCTACATCCATGGCTGATCCTCTCCCAAATTTGGGTGTTCTTCCACCCTTGATCGCAGCAGGGGACAGGCGCCAACACATAACTGCACATCCTGCCAACCAAGAGTTGTTTTCCATTTGCTCCTTGGGATTTGGTGTGTTTTCCCCTTTTTCCTCCCCCCCTTCTCTCTGCAAGAGGGTGAACAAAGCCACAGACACATCTCTGGAGGCTTTAAGCAGTGCCCCTACCCAGGATCTCCTCCAAAGCAAGCACTGTGTGGGGCTCTGCTTTGCCCACACCCCCTGGTTTCCATTACTCACCCCTGCTATCGCTGCCTTGGGGAAGGGTTGAGATAAGACACAGACACCCAGCCCTGAACCTTGTTCCAGCAAGTTGACACGATGCCATCCTGCTAGCAACTGGTTTTGTCCTTTGCCCGTGTCCTGTGGGTGCTTCAGATGGGGTGGGGGCCTCTGGCTGCTCTCTCAGCATCACTGCCTCCATGCCCCAGCTGCTGCCCTGTCCCCAGGAGCAAAGGGTTAGACAGCTCCAGGAGATGCCCAAAGCTACAGCAAGGTCCTCCTGTGCCTGCTTGGGTGGGGAGGGGAAAGGCAACAGCTTGAGGGGGAAAAAAACCCCACAACCAAAACCAAACTAAATCAAAAAACCCCATGAAAAACAGGGCTGATGGTATCAGGGCTTATCAGGAAGATGGGCAGCACCAGATTTGAGGCTGGAAGGAAGAAGGGATTACCCCTGTAGACATTCCTCATACACTTGCTGCCTGTGCTCTGTTCTTCTCAAGTCGCCCAGAGGTCACAGCCACAGATGTTTGATATCTCTGGCACCACCAGAAATTTGGCTTTTTAACCTGAAGGCTTCCCTGGGGTGAAGGGATGTGTAGCCTTTCCACGTGGAAAGATCTGATGGCAGAGGAAAGGGCTGTGCTGACAAGTCCCTTCTCACAGGGCATAGGGGTCCCCAGGACCCAAAAGGAGGGATGTAGGACAAAAAGGCCACCAGGATTTTGGAGGAACACACACAGACTTCTAGAAGTGATCAAAAGCATTTGCTTCAGATGTGATTCAGGATCCCTTTTTAGCTAGGCAAGGATCATGTGCTTGTTTAAACACACCCTCCCCAAAACAGCAGAGGCTTCTAAAAATGCATTTCAAGGACGAGTGTTTTCCTAGAAGAATGGAACAACATGCCTGGATCTAAACCCTCAACAGTCCTTGACTTGTCCAAGGATTCAGGGGAAAGGGGAGACACAGAAATGAGCTGGTTTTAAATTTGATTCAGTTTGGGACCAACAGTCCTGCTTAAAAAGGGGATGGAAATTAAGGCTGTGCACTGTGAGATTCCCAGCTCAGGGGGTTGCACCTTCAGGATGTTCAGACTCAGAAGAGGTGATGTGAACATCTAAGCCTCCTTAGAAGCAGGGATGTGAACTAAAGGAGCACACAGGCACAATGACTCACGTCTGGTCGCTGAAACAGGGCACACAGGATGTCACAGACCCTGAGCAGCTTCCACCTCCCCCTGGCCAGACACCCTGGAGCCCTTGGAGGACAAACACCACCCCGCAGCCCTAGAAGCAGCACAAAGTTCTTCAGGCAGACCCAAACGAGTGGAAATGCCTGAGCCAGACTGTGGCAAGCAGAGAAAACATGGAAAGCCTGGAAGCTTTGAAGGAGGGGAAGGCAGAGACCCCCTCCCCAGCTCTGCACACACAGAGCAGAGGTGGGAAAAGCAGAGTGGAAGGAAGCAGGGGTGCTTAGAATGATTTGGGGCTTTCTTTCAGCCCTTGGAGGACAAACACCTCCTTGCAGCCCTAGAAGCAGCACAACTTTCTTCAGGCAGACCCAAACGAGTGGAAATGCCTGAGCCAGACTGTGGCAAGCAGAGAAAACATGGAAAGCCTGGAAGCTTTGAAGGAGGGGAAGGCAGAGACCCCCCCTAGCTCTGCACACACACAGCAGAAGTGGGAAAAGCAAAGTGGAAGGAAGCAGGGATGCTTAGAATAATTTGGGTCTTTCTTTCCCATTTTTCTTCTCACCCTTGTAAAAGGTGGGGCTTTGCAGCTATTGTTGCTGTTCTACACAGCACTGGCCTCTCAGGAGCACAGAGCCACAATGAAAAAATAACAACCCTGACCCAACCACAGGAAGGAAAAGAATTAGCAGGGGAAGGAAAAGCAGCAGCAGGAGCAAGTACTCAGGCCTGAAATAAATGCACTGCCCGCTGCCAGAGGTGCAAGTAGGAAGGGTGACACCACCTAATCCTGTGAGGAGGTTCAGACTTCAGTGGGAGGTCCCAGCTTTTTGATTTTATTGCTACAGGTGAGCACTGGAAGCTTGGAAAACTTGGAAAGAGCTGCTTGTCAAAGGTCCAGCCACACAACGGAGCACCCTCAGCTGGGATGAACAGCTTGTGTTTACAGATTTTTGAGGAAGATGAGCATGGAGATGGAGGGTTTGGCATCCTGGGTTGGTCTTGTCCCCACCTCTCAGATGTTCCCAAAACCCCCACTTTGCTCTGCCAAGGCAAACGTAGAGATGATCCAACAGGAAACCTTCCTGGTGATGCTGCTTCCCCTGCGTCAGCTCCTGCTGGAGTGTTAGGGGCTGGGTGGGATGTGGCTCCACCAAGGGCTGGGCCAGAGCTGCTCTCCACCTCTCCCAGCTCAGATCAGAGCCATGGGAAGCTCACATCCAAGAGAAACAAACAAAAACCAAAAGCAAACCACCTTGAGTCTCCTGCTGCTGCTCCCCAGCAAACTTTTCCATGTAGACAGAGAAAAAGATGCCATCCCCTTGCCAGGCAGGGGAGGTGTGAGGCAGGAGCTGCAAGGATCCCACTTACAGCACCCAAGAGCCCAGGGGGATGGAGCAGAACACTCCCCTACATGAACAACTCACTCCTTTCTCTTTGCTGCCTACAACCTTGGCATAAATCTGACCTGGGCACCTCTGAGAAGTTCAGCTACCCCTCCTGAAGAAGATGTGAAGACAAGTCTCTGTGATGGGCACGTTTGAAGTAGCAGGGTCTTCAAGACAAAAACCAGAGCAGGACAGGTGCCTCCACGTCAGGCCCTCAGTTCAAAGGTTTTTGGGTATTAGCAGCTGTAGTTTCACCCTTTACAGCATAGAGCACTGAAGGGACCATCCCTTGTCAGTCCAACAACTCCCAGCTGTCCCAGGCTACAGGCTGTTGAAACACAGGAGCAGGAAGTTTTTGCCATTCCAAAGGAAACATCTTTATTTCTGTGCTCTTAGCTTCACCCGTCCTCACAGAGGATAGAGTGCAGGAGGTCAGTGAACTTCTCCAGACGAGCTGTGGGTTACATTTGGAGGGCAAGGAGGAAGAACCCTGCCCCACGAGGAGCCATTCCTGGTGTTTTCCCAAATCCCCCTGTGCAAGCCTAAGGAGTCTTTGCTAAGATGTTGCAACTTCCAATGTAAAACCAAGCATGAACTTCTGGGACAATAAGACTGCTTGATAAAGAGTCCATGGGAGACTTAAAAGACTCTTTTCCTTTGCTTCCCCAACTGTATGTGGGGCCTAACTTAGCCTGTAAAGGCTCTCCTGCCTGTCCAACTCCCAACAGCACCTCTACTCCCACCCCAGAAACACAGACTCTGAAGCAATACAACACTCTGGACTCAGAGAGGAAGAGCTGGGATTAAAAATAAAACCCCAAAACAGAAACTCAGGAGAGCAACACAAAGGACATAAAAAGCAGAAGCTAGGAAAATACGTTGAGATGGTCAAAAGTCACATCAAAATATATTTAAAAACCAGGAATTTTGATCTGTGTGGAATTTAAAATGTCTTCTCCCACCCTTTTTTTTTTTACCCCTCTGTTCAAGGAGTCTCTTTGTTGTTCCAGGATTTGGAACAGGATAGGCAGCACCAGTTATGTCCTGAAAAGGGCAATATTTTCCCCAGCTCCTCTGAGCACTTCCACCTTTTTACAAAAGAAAAACATCATCTCTACCTCAAAATTGCCCCACCCTCCCCTCTTTTCCATCCTACAGTGGGCAGGAGAAAAAGACTGCAAACAAATCTGACTTCTCATTTTCAGTCAAGTCCCAGGTTTTTTTTCTTCCCCCCACACATCAATAGCCCTGCAACCCGTTGTACACCTTCTGCACTGATCCTTGTTTCAACAGCTGCTTGAGACCTGCAAGAGAAAGGAAAAGTGTTGCTGCACCCAAAGTGTCAATCCCCCCACTCCCCAAACCCAAAGGTGAGGTTTTCTCCTGCTCCTTCACCATTCCTTGGGAGTAGTGTCCACTAGAAGTAGTCCCTGAAGGGAAATGAGGGAAGCAAACTCCTTATCTGTGGCTTAAATATCCTATTGAAGGCCTGAAAAATCTTACTTCTATTGAAACCTGTTTTAAAGGAGCCAGATGACTCTCCAAATACCATCTTCCCCTGAAAGCCCAGCTGATAAAACACTTGAAAGGCTGCTCTGAGGATCCTGCCAATACCCAATCCTCACCAGAGCAGGATAAGAGAGGAGGAAGCCAACCCTTCAAACCAAAATAGCTCCTCTCTAGGGTTAGCCCACTCAAGGAGACTTCACTGCTACATAAAGGGCAAGTCTGCATGAAACAGAGGAAGCTGACTGGCAAGAATGGATGTGTCACACTTTTTTTCCAGAGATAACTGGAAGGGGGGACTCCCTCTTTCAAGTCAGCCTGGTCACACACTGCAGGACTCCCCCACTTGCCCTGGGGGTGAGGCAGCACCTCTGGTGACCAACACCAGAAAACACTGAGCTGGAGGAAGGGCAGTCAGAGCCCAAACCAGAGAGGAAAACACCTCAAACCATGAGTGACTTTCAAATAAGCTGGCTCTGCTGCTCCCCTGAAGCCAGAGATGTGCAAAGATGTGCAGCAGGACACCCCAGCAGGTCAGAAAATAGCTGTGGTAGTTTAAGTGAGGTCCATAAGCATGGAGGTGGAGGATCAGTAATTATATCCATCAATTGACTTGGACAGAAAAAAAGAAACCCCAACCTGCAAGTCCTTCTTCAGGAAATCCCAGCTAGAAGAGTGTCTCTCCCTGCAAAACTCATCCTGCTTGGCTACTCTTAAATCACTCTGACTGCAAATAATACTGGCCTTTCAGAAGAGTAATTTTCTCTGGAAGAGTCAAAGTAGCTCTGTTTAAATACTGGAAAACTGTCCTGGAAGTAGTAACTGGAAGAGAGATGGCTCTCTGCCAGGCAAGAACTATTCATGCTTGCTGGCCAGAGAAACCTGAACTCTTTTCCACATTCAGAAACATCCTCAACAGCAAGGGAAAGCAAACCTCTGTCCAGGAGCCAGTAATCACCAAGGACAAATCATTCCCTGAGAGAGTGCAAGGCAAGTTCACTCCCCAACCACAGCCAAAGGAGGCTCAGAGCCACTTCCTGGCCAGTAGGTGAGAGGATGTGCCTTCAAAGAAGGACATTGTTGGAGAAAGGTGTGTTCTGGTAGTTCTGAAAACAGTGGGATGGACACCATTCCCCTGCCTTGCTGCCTGCTAGCTAGCTCTAGGCAGCTGCCTGCTGGCCTGAAGGATACTCTCACCAGTGCACATGGTATTTCAAGGTGTGTTTGATGTTCAATCCAGAATTCCAGCCAGGAATCCTGATCTTTGGTGCTCCTGCACCTCAGGATTTATTTTTTTTCCCCCAATATAACCCACAAAGTGGTGCTCTCACAGCCAGAGTATCTTCTGAACTGCCCCAGGAATGGTCCACATGGTTAGGAGAGAAGAAATTAGGACAACTGCCAACAATAAGTAGAAAGGGATGTTTTGAATTCTGAAGCCTACAGTCTTCCTTTCAATGTGTACACTGAACTGCTGCCCCACAACAGCAACAGACCTGTTCCCTCATAAAATTCCTTAAATCACTGGGTGTTTGGAGATATTCTACCACACAAAAATGCATCTGGCTGCCCACTCACCTTCACCTGAGAAGCATGGAACAACTTTAGGAGAGAGGGAAACACTCAAAGCTCCACCACCTGAAGACACTCATGTCACCATCTCTCTGTTCCTGGCCTATCCCTAAAAATCTGTGATCAGTTTTGACCAACAGAGGCTTCTGTTAAGTGCTCTTTGGGAAAGCACAGGGGCCCAAAACACAAGACAGGTTTACTCAAAGCACAGCCCAGAGGCACTGACCTCACAGCTCAAACAGCTGCAGAAAGAGCCACAAGAACATCAGTCAACCCTGAAGCTGCAGCTGCCAAAGGGGCTCCAAGTAGCAGAGTGCTGTCCAAGAAGATGTAAGTGCTGCAGGGCTGAGAAAAGCCCACCCAGGGCTTGGCTTCCCTCTACAAGCTTGAGGAGTCCAGGAAAGTTGCATATTTGCCTCATTCTACCAGGACAGCTGCCAGAAAGGCACTAAAAAGGCACTTGAAGAAGAAAGTATGACAGCCCTGACCAGCAGGAAGAAGTTCTGGGGATGGGGATGTTCTGAAGAGCTGCACTGGTTTTTGCCAGGAATTTCTTTGCCCTGTAGCAGAGGATGAGGCCTTGGGTGCCTACCCCAATGCCCCATGCAGAGCAGCAGAACCTACCCCAGAGGCTGCTGAAGCAAAGAGGAATTTCCAGCTAGAAGCCAAATATTTCCCCTGCTGCCCATTTTAGGATTTCTACATCGTTCATCAAGTTTCCATTTGAGCACTGAAGCTGCCAAACACATCTCTCCTACAAAAGAGCTGCACTGCACCCTTGTTCCCCATACAGCCACAAAGCTTTTAGGGTAGATGGTGCAGAGAGGAACAATCCTTCTCCTGAGGCTGCATGACACTCTTTACCCGTGGCAGTGGAGGGGTTGTCACAAGTCTTACCTCCAAGAAAGCAGAAGCAGAGGGTGGAAAAACTCCTTGTGAACCCTCTCCAGCAGAAGCCAAGCAGAGAGAGAGGCTCAGCCCAGCAAAGTCTTTTGGTTCAGACAGATGGGCAGCTACAAAACAAAGCCCCTGCAAACCTGCCAAGTGCAGCACATCCCAACCTCCTCTGGTCCCTTGCAACTCCAGCAGCCAAACTCACTGGCTTCCAAAGGAAATGGAAACTCAGCTCAGGGCATCAGCCAACTGTGTTATGTCACACAAGGGGCTACAGGGAGAGCCCCTCCTGACTTCTCCAGCCCACAGTGGTTCACTTTGGTGCCAGCTTTGGGGAGAGGCCTGTGCCAGGCCAGAGCTTCTCAACACCCACCTTCCCGCTGCTCGTTTGTCAGCTGCTCTTTGGGGAACTCCACATCAAATGTTATTATTAGTGAGCCTTTGATATTATTGTTATCAAAATTTGGAAGACCTTCTCCTTTCTTCCAGAGTTTGGCGCCGGGTTTGGTGATTTTATCCCGAGCAACGTGAACCTAGAAACAAAAGTTCAGAGCATTATTAGTGTCCTCTAGGGGTGGGACTTCAAAAACCTTTCCAAGACACAGAGGAACTGCTGTGACAACCTGGACCCACACAACCCACCCCTTGCCCAGGGTGTGTTTTAGCTTTCTTGGAATTGGTCTGGAAAGCTCTACCAGAGGGGATCCTGTATAAACCCCACAGGCCCCCAGCAAGATAATCCTCAGCACAGGAAACCCCACACAGATAGATTTTGTCCCCACACAGCTAGATTTTGACCCCACACAGCTAGATTTTGACCCCACACAGCATTAAAGCCAACTGTTGCCTCACCTTGTGCCCATCCAAGTGGGCAATATCCATTTCAAACCCTGTCAGTGCCTCGACCAGCGAGATTGTCACGTTTGTATACAAGTCATCTCCTCTCCTTTCAAAGACTGGGTGCCTGTGGAAGTAAAGAGACATTGGAGCTTTTCTCCTTCCCTCCCCCCTAGGGGAAATAGGTCCTCTAGTTTCCTTCCCTCTATTAATGCATTTGGAGAACTCACAAATTGGAGAGGAAGTGGAAGAATAAATGAAATTCAGCTTTATTTTCCTGTGTGAGATATAGACTCCTAATAACTTTTCTATTTCTAGGGCAGTTGAGTGGTGAGGCGTGGCAAGAAGTTGTGACTCACACAACAACCTTCTCAGTGCATCTCCTTACAATAGGGAGGATAGAATATTTATGGAAAAAGGAGCTATTTCATCTGATTCACACAGGAGCTACTAAGACACGCCAGGATTCAAGCCAAACAAAACAGAACTGGAATGATCTTGACAGTGGGCAATCCAGCTGCTCCAGCATCATCTGGGTTGAGCATCCTGTGCAGCTCTGAGTACCAGAGCCCTGGCTGCACCAGCTCTGCTGAAGGGCAAGCTACATGCTAGCCAAGCTGGCAACACTGGCTAGAAAACTGTTTGCCAGCTTCCTTTAGAGTAACTCCTTGATGAGTGGATTGAGATCAGCTCTGTAGAGAAGGACTTGAGGGTGCTGGTGGGTGAAAAACCAAATCCCCTATGAGGGCAGGCCAAGAGAGTTGGGGTTGTTCAGCCTGGAGCAAAGAAGGCTCTGGGGAGACCTTGTAGCAGCCTTAAAGAGGGGTGAAGATATGGAGGGATCCTTTATCAGGGAGTGTAGTGATAGGATGTGGGGTAAATGGTTTTAAACTGAAAGAGGGTACAGTTAGATTAGATGTTAGGAAGAAACTCTTCACTGTGAAGGTGGTGAGACACTAAGACAGGTTGCCAAGAGTTTTAGATGCCCCATCCCTGGAGGTGTTCAAGGCCAGTGGGAGCTGTTCCTGCCCATGGCAGGGAGATTGGAACTAGATGATCTTTAGGATTCCTTCCAACCCAACCCATCCTGATCCTATAACCAAAAAAAGGGCTCTACCCAGGGCAGTTACTCACTTAAGAACCTTTATTCGGAAGCGCAGATCCCCTGGCTCCCCATCCACGTGGGGCTCCCCTGCCAAAAAGAGGGAAAAGCTCTGTTCAGAAGGAGCTACTCAGTAACAACTGAAGAAACAAGAGGCACACTGAACACACCAGAGATTTACAGCTCAGGTGTTAAAGAAAAACAACAACTGGTTGATCTTTACATGACCAAAACCCTGCTAACACACAGCTGCTATCAGAGAGCCCAGGACTGAGCGCTGCCTCAGTGAGCTCACACCTCTCTGCTGCTCTGGAAGACTTGTCTGCCTTCAACAGACACTCCTAGTCAAAAGTTATCTAAACCATCAGATTTAGAGCTTTTTTTTGTGTGTGTGCACCCCCAGCCTCAGCAAAGGGAGTGGGACTCCTGGATATTAGCAGCATGGCATTTAAAACCACATCTGTTCAGCAGTCACCCAGGGCTTGGACACTCACAGCCTTGCATAATGGGAAAGGAGCAAGTCACAAGGTGACAGCAGCATGGTGCCCACACCCCTACCTTCTCCAATGAAGGGATACTCCATGCCATCCCTCACACCAGGCTCAATCTCCACTTCTAGTGTCCTCTCCTCATTCACGAGCCTGTAGAGGGGAAGAGCAAGCACACACTGTTTCCACTCCTGCTTCTCTTCCTGAGGCAATGAGTCTGCTCCAGAAGTCACCCCACACTCCTTCCTTCACCTCTGAAACTGGAGGGCAAGTGCTGCTAGCAGAGGAAGCACAGTGAAGCTCCTAAATGCCCAGTCAGCATGTGGGTCCATGGCCAGCTGCTCCCAGCTGGAAGCAGATTTGTTTATTCAGAGCTAGTTGTGAAACTTCCACTCTAGTCCCAGTGACTCTTGAAGGAATAAGAGCTAATTGGGGAGCTCTGCATGTAATAGAACTGGTCATCTCTAAGAATAAAGACTGGTGCCTTGGAGATGAGAAACCTGTGTGAAGTTTTTTCCCCAATTCCCCAGGTCTCACTGGTAGCCCGGGGACTTTTCTCCATCTAGTGGTAGGTTTGGAATAACCATCCACAGAGCAGTGTAAGAGCATAAAAACTTACTTGACATTTGGACATTCATCACAAACAACTTCTTGAGTCATCTGGAAACGTCCAGGACCCAGCTGGGTGGTCCTCATCTCCTGCCTGCAGTTGCATTTCCTTTTGCCAGGTGCCTGTCTGGCCACTGGCTTGTTCCTGACAACCTGCAGGGAGGGAGGGAGGGACAGGTTGATACCAGCACACAGCCCAACACTCCTGGGTTCCCCAAAAAGGCCACCCATACATTGGCCAGATAAGGAATCCTGACATCTGCAGTGATGTGGTTGGTTGTATTAAGAGGCTAGGAACAAACCCTCAACGTGGTTTTTGCAAGAATTGCAAAATGAATGGAAGGCTTAGGAAGGGACTCAAATATCACTCAGTTCTAGAGGGAGACCACTTAGACCTTTTCCAACTGGGCTACTGCAATTAAAAACCAGCTACAGCTAGTCCCCAACAGCCAACAAACAAGCTATTGTCACAAGAACCATCCCTTTACAGAGAGATTCAGAGGGCAGAGGTGAATAAATGTGTTGTTTCTTCAGTTAACCTCTAGCAAATACCATCCCAACATCCTGCCAGATATTGAGAAGACAAGTCTTTATTTCAGTTCTTTGGGAGCAGATATTCTGAGCAGCAACCAAGCCAGGTATCTCTGGAGAGACTGACAGGCAAACTTACCTCTACAAAGTTCCCTGAATACACCTCCTCCAGTGTCACCTCCAGGTCCACGATGATGTCACTGCCTCGGGGGATGTTCCTGTCTTGCTGCCGAGGGTTCCCTCCAAACATGAACCCAAAGTCCCCAAAAAAGCTGGAGTGTAAAGCACATCCATTAGTTCAGGGTGAAATTCTCATCAGTTGAGGCTCTGATGGTGCTCCGTGGCAAATAATTCTAGCCCCCTAGAGAAAACCCTCTCCTCACAGTGTAAAATGACCCTGGTGAACTCAGAGACCTCTTTTTGCTCCTCCAGGAGAGGAGATAATGCCTTCAAACAAAGCACTTACTGTGGAAGAGTCTTCTGTACTAAAGAAAACAAGGTTTGGAGCAGGAGATAACACCTCAAAACCTGACCACTGCTTAAGGGAAGTCTTCTTCATGCTGCACTGCTGCTCAGCTGCCATCAGCACAAGGTGGAAGCTGAGGAACACTCCACCTCTTGCACTGCAATGCTACCAAGGTTGGTTTTCAGCACTTTGAGGACAAGGGGGATGAGAAGAAAAAAACTTCCTCTCAAGTTTACATATTCCTCCTCAAAACAGACCTGATGGTGTGAGGAGAAGACACAAAATGAGCAGCTTCAGGAATTGGTTTAATAAGTTTATGCCTAGCAGGACCAAAGGGGCTTTAAAATCAGGTTCTGCCTCAGCAACATGCAAGTGCCTTCAGGTTTTAATGATCCAAATAGTTCTAGAGCTGCTCTGAAAGTCATTACAGCATTATTTGGCAACATAACAAGGGCAGAGGTGGCCTGTGACAGCAGGTTGAATATCAGCCACCTCCCAGGGAACTCAAGAAAGTTCCTACATGTTTAATGCAGCTGCAGCACCTCACAAATCACCCACAGTGGTGACACAGCTTGCCAAGAGAGCAAGAGCTGCCCACGTGGGAAGTTAACCCTGTTTCCTACTCCCCAAAAACCTGTTCCTTCCAATTCTCAACTGTCATTTCAGATCAGTACCTCCAGACTGGGCTAAAAGACCTTCACAGAGAATTTACCCCCCATCAAACCTGCCCATGAGCATCAGAGAATTGGAGCCCCAAGTGCAGAACAGCCCAAAGTGGCAAAATCTCCTTACTGTGAGAAGATGTCTCCGTGGGAGCTCTGGTGCCCATCCTTCAAGCCCTCCTCACCATAGGCATCATACTGCTTCCTCTTCTCCTCATCTGACAGGACCTGCAAAGGGACAGCAGCAGACAAGGCAGTCACCCAGAGCTGAGCTGTTTAAACAAGGCTTGGAGAGGAGAGGAAGCTCACCAGGACTCTTCCCTGGGGGACAAGGAGCAGTGTTTTATGTCCCAGAGGCACCACCTAGAACTTGCTTGCTAGAAAAGTTAAACATTTATTAGTTAAACCCACAAAAAATACAGAGAGTTTATTAAAACAGCAGAAGAAGCAACACAGAAAATGTAAACAATGCTGTGTTGAGCTTAAGGATTAAAAAATCATGAGAAGGAACATTGGAATCAGTTCCTATGAAGCAGGACATGCTGGAAACCACCACATAATGCCACCATCTGTTTCTCAGTTTGTTTCTCAAGCACACAGAATGTTTATTTCTCTGGTTTCCACTTTATAACAATCAGCAAGGATGGAAAGTTTGTGTACCAAGCTGAACCTGCCCCATAGGGTAACTCCACACCACTTTGAACTCCCCTCCCCCAGAGAGCCAGAAGTTGCTGGTGATGTTTAGTCTTCCTGCTCCTTTCTCCTCTGTTGAGCCCCTTGGGGAAAGGTTGAGATTGCCAGGTGAGCTTTCAGAAGGCTCCAGAGGAGTGGAAAACAGCTGGAGAAGCAACAAACATGCCAAAAAGGCAGCTGCTGGAGAACAGAGTTTCAAGGACTGTGAAGAGAGCTCTGGTTTGTTATGTTAGGTTGCCTTGAAAGCAAAGTAACCACAGTGGGTAAACTTAAGAGAGGAAAAAAACACCAAAAAAGTGGAAACTCCACTCCTAAACCATCAGGAGATCAGTGATTATTTAGAGGAGTCTCAGTTCCCTCACAAAGGGCCAGACAGTTGTGTTGCTCACAGGCTGGAAGTCACTCAGGCTGTTAGAATTAAGGAGGCTGAGCAGTTTAATTAACCTACTTTTCATGCCATTTTTTTGGGAAGACTTTGCTATAGATAGTCAGCTAGCCAAACCCTGAGCAGCAGCACCACTTCTGGCAAAAAAACACCCTGGTGTGGGTAATAAATGAGACATAATTCCAGCTCTCTTTTACCCAAAAGAATGAAATCAACACTCTACATCTTGTAGCTGGTTGAGCAGAAGGATTTGCAGGCTGTGCTGGCTAAACAAAGACCTCCCAGGAGAGGAAAATATCATTCTTCTAAATCTATTTTTAAAGATCCACATGCCTCCACACTGGATTGAAATATTTTGATGCCTCTCTCTTCAGGAAGAGGTAGAGAAATGCTTCCCAAGCATAAAGTGCTGACCAGTGTGACAAGGTGCTCCCTCACAGAAACAACACCAAGCTCAACAGCTTTGAAGCAAACTCCACGTGTTGTTCTGCAAATGTCAGGTAACAAATAACCTTTTTCCACAAAAAAAAACCCTTTTTTAG